TTCTTCGACGCTGATGGTCAGTAAGAAAATAGAGAGGCATCGAGAGCACTTCTCCAAGTTCGACCATACTTTTACGTCGGAAGAGGCCATCAACAATCTCGGTTCTCTAAAGTTCTCGCAATCGAATCGTATGCCGGACCCCAAAGACCCCTCACGCATTGTCACGACTACCACGACCACGACATTTTCCATGGCGAAGGAAATGGCCCGCTCAGTATGTCAGCGGTTTGTAGATGCCAGATTCATTGAGTCCGTAGACGGAAGGATAAGTCTTCAATTCCCTCTCAAGGGCGCGCTTTTCCAATTGACACCCAAGGGCATCAACATCCTGCAGCGATTTTGCCAAAGAAACGGGATCACTGCGAGACACATCATGGACGTGCTCGAATCCCCTCGAAATACTATGCAGCTAGTAACACAGAACGAGAAAATACCACGGACCAAATATCCCACGACCGTGCTACAATCGAGGTTATTTTCCGCCGGTTTGCTGGCCAAGATGGCCCTAATCTCAAGCCGTCGGTTTCGACCTCGGATTCGGATTCCGTGAGTGACTACACTAATGGACTTGTCGGCGTGAAAATGGCGAAGGAAAGAAAAATCGGAGACAAAGTCATCCAGAATACTTTTACCGGAAAGGCAGCGGTGGATTGGTTGATGGACTGCTGTACGACAACAGACCGCCGGGAAACGTTCGAGATTGCAACGATGTTTGTTAAGCACGGGTTGATTCACTCCGTCTTTGAGGATAAGAATTTCGCCCAACATAACCCGGAAGCGGCAGCCTTCCAGCCAACGAAGTATTCTATCTATGCATTGACCGAGCGAGGACAACGGGTCTGTGGATGGATCGCACGGGAAAAGCCGCTGGTCACTGCGTACGACGGCCGCGTTGCACCTCGAGATTCGAACAATGCCCGCCTAAACAACATCCTGCAAGATCCCGCCCTGCGACTACTGTTCAGGGAATTCCTGCGCGATTCCCTCTGCGAGGAGAACCTGTCGTTTTATATTGACGTTTCTGACTTTACGATAAATTACCACCAGCAGGAAAAAGCCGGTTCATTTGCGAAGATGGATGTCGTCCGTGAAACCCTTGCGAGTGCATATGGTGAGTTTTCATTTGTTGTAATTCAAACCAATTCTTTTTTCTTTTCGTCATGTTTTACTTCTTGCAGCGTTCTACTCCTCTCTACCCAGCTACTTTCAGCGTGGTTCACTGGTAACTGATAATGAACAATAATAGGCTTATACAACGCTTTCCTTGCTCCCGGATCTCCCTGCGAGCTGAACATCGAGCACGCTTTACGAAATAGCCTTGCCAGCCGTATGACACGGGCCGTTGGAGATGATGCATCAATGCTTAAAAGCTTAACTGAAGTGGTTAGCCTTTTCGAGCTCGCTCAGATTTCTGTCTTCAAACTCATGTCAAGTGTAAGTATTTTCGTCCTTGGGGCTCAGGAGGGAGAGAGATGCTCCCTCCCTCTCCCTTTCCTTCTCCCTTCCCTTTCCCCTTTTTTCCTCCCCCTTTCGTTCGGGCTTTTTACTAAAAAAGAACGCAAATTCGAAAAAATACAGGACTCCGTCCCGAAATTCGTGCGGGATCCAAAATATGCCGTTGTTCTGCAGGAACATGACTTCGACCTCAATGCCTCGGGTAAATCGCATTCTCCAGGCCCTGCTCCCGTCCCAGAACGCTCCATGAGCCGGTCCACGAGGTCGTAAGATTTGAAGAGCAAGCTTTTTTTCTATTTTTTGGTTTCAATCGATGAGAACATCGTGACGGAATTTGAAGTGCCCGAATTGTTCTCTTTTCTTGGTGGGGAAGGGAGGGGGTGCTGGGGCCAAAACACTAACACCCCAGTTGTGGAAATGACTGGGGCGGTATATATATGTTTTTAAGATCCCCCGCGGATCCGCGCCGTTTCGCCGCGAACATCGCGCGTCTCCCAACCCGGGGTCCTGAGCTCTGTCAACCCCCGCCCGCCGGGGGGCTCCCTTATCCAATTTCAGGACCGTTGGCATGACTGGTGGTAACCACGACACAGTCAGCCAGTACCAAAACCAAGCTTTAAAAAAAGAGAAAGAAAAAGAAAAAGAAGAAGAAGAAAAGACCGAAATGAAGCAAAACGAGTTGAAATGAATGAAAGTAAGAAAAAAGAAGAAGAAGAATATGGCTATGGCACATGCTCCCCTCTCTCTCCCTCTCTACCCATCTCCTATGTAATAATTTTTTTCTTTTTTTCTCTTTTGTTGATTTTCTTCCTTTCTTTCCTTTTTTTTTCCTTTCTTTCTTTCTTTTTTTCTTTTTTTCTTTCTTTTTTTCTTTCTTTCTTTCTTTTTTTCCCTCTGAGCTTTTTCATTCCTCACTCACAGGTCTCCAAAGTGTCCGGTTGAATCTGGAAATGATCTTTCTCATATATACATTTTATGTATGTGCATTTTTCTACATGTTACAGTTCATCAGCACCGTTCCGTTTCCCCGCCAGCCTTTCTTTTTTTCCTCCATCTAGCATATTGGGAGTTGCTTTTTCGTCTCTGAAAGTGTTTATTTTTGGCTTTTTATATTTGGGCAAATTCTCTATTTTTTGTTTTCCATTTTCATTGTTTGATTTGTATCTTTTTTCCCTGCTTGCCCTTTTTTTTTTTTTTTTTTTTTTTCATTGAATCTATCTATGCATGGCATGAATATTGCTTTTTTTTTTCTCCCCCTTTCATTGTTTCATTGCTGTTGTTATCCTTGGTATCATCTGCATAAATATTCTTATCATTCTTATCATTATTATGTTAATTCATTTTTATTTTATATTTGACTCGTTTTTTTTTGTCATCTTAACTCTTTTTAATCTTCTATATCTACTTCATATATACACGTACCTTCTCTATCATAATCATTTTCATCTTCACACAATCATCAACTCTTGTTTTTGTTCTTCTTTTATCTCTCTTACTTACTGAAGAGATGATTTAAACTATGATTGTTTGTGTCTTTACTTATTTTTCTTTTCTTTTTTTTTTTTTTTTCTTTCTGCTATTTTCACATATGTATTTTTTCTAGCTTATAATGTTTTGAGTTGAGGGTTGAGATTATCTTCATAAACTGCTGGTATATTTCCATCATATCAGCTCATCTCAGTGCATATTGCTCTCATACTGAGTCATACATATATATCTCATCACATCACAGGATAGATATGAAGTGTAAAGAAGGCATTGTATTTATCTCCCTATCTATGTACATCTCCACATTCTCATACTTCATCATTTCTTGAAATTTGAAACTTCTCTGCTGTAATTTTAGAAGAGCTTTTTTTTTTTTTTTTTTTTTTCCCACCTTGAATTTCATTCCTCTTTCATTCCCGCTCCTTATTTTCTGCAATCCACCTTTTTTTCTTCATTCCGACGGCTAGTAAAGTAAAAAACTAGCTATATCCGATGGAAGGTGTAGAATCTAGGCGAAGTAATCATACCTACTTAGGTATATATATATCTCTCTGTAGATATACATACGATAGCTGTGTATCATTCATTTCTAACAACAATTTCCATTTCCCCGCTACGATTTGGTATGACATGAACAAGATCAAGCAAAAAAAAAACCCCCAAGATTAGCAGCAGTATCATCAACAGCAAAAGCATACAAAAAATGTTCACTTCCCTCCACCCCACCCCCTCGCCCTCATCCCCTCCTCAATCGCCATCCAAACCCCCTCCACAACCCCCCTATCCCTCCACCGCCCGCTAGGCCCCCCCACAGCACCAGCACCAGCACCACCCGCATTCCCCACCCCAGAAACAGCCAGATTCGCACTCTTCTCATCCCACCGGTCGATCGCAAAACTGCGCACGCCGCGGCCCCACCCCTTAACTTCCCTCGGCACATCCTCCCCGCGCCACCCGACATAGATGCCCGTGGCATGCTTGAACAGCTCCGGCGGCGAGGACCACTTGTACGATTTGAACTGCCACGTCTGGCCCGTGGTGAAGACGGCGACGACGCGGCTCCAGTAGTCCGGCTTGAAGTCGGCGGTGCTGTCGACGAGGATGAAGCGGGTGGGTTTGCGGTTGTTGTGGAGGCCGGAGACGCCGGGTGTGGAGGCGGGGGTGGAGGAGGGTTTGGAGCTGGAGGTTGGGTCCGGGAGGGTCTGAAGGGTGCGGGTGATGTGGAGGAGGTTGGAGGCGGTGGAGGTGGCGAGGGTTGGGTGGTCGGGTGGCACGTAGATGCCGTCCTGGAGGAAGGATCTGATGTTTGACATGCGCAGGAGGGAGGAGGCGGAGGGGGAGAGGAGGATGATGGGGTTTGGACGCCGGGAGGAGGATGGGTTTGTGGAGGAGGGGGGTCCCGGTTGTTTGATTAGGGACGCGCCGTTGGATAGGGATGTTGAGGTGGGTTTCATGCCCTGGCTTTGCCATGTTTGCTGTGCGTGTTGGGCCTGGGCGCGAGCGGTTGCGGCCTAGGAACATCTCGGCGGTTTTGCGGACGTGGGAGAAGTCCTGATAATAGGATTGAAAAAAGAGAAAGAAAGCGTCAGCCCCAGAGTCAACACCCAATATGAAAAGAAAAAAAAATAGAGAAAGAGAGAGCATAACCCCACCGTCGGCTTAATCCCCCTAAGCACACTATTCCGATCCCCCATCTTGCGCTCCCCATTATAAATCTCCTGCAGGCGCGGGTCGACACTCCGCACCGGCCTCCCTCCAACCCCAACCCCAACACCAGCACCAGCACCAGCACCAGCACCAGCACCTTGCGCCCCCGAACCCGCACTAGGAATAGTCGATACCCCCCCGGCCGCCCCCGACGCAACCTTCGCCGAATCCTCCGCCGCGCGCGTAGCCGCACCGACACCCGCATCTCCTACCCCAACATCTCCCGCCAACGGCCGAATATACTCACTATCCTCCGACGCGCCCTCCAACCACGTAATAAGATCCAGGCGCTCGACAAACACCAAATGCAGCACCTTGCCCACCTTGCCCACCGCCCCCTCCTTCCCCTCCTTCCCCTCTTTCCCCCACCGCTCCCCAATCCCCTCATTCACCGCCTGCGCACTAGCAATGTACTCCGGAATCGCCACGTCCCGCTTCAGCCAGGCGAAGTAGATGCTGCGCAGGTCGATGGGGATGTTGCCTGCGGCGGCGGAGATGAAGCGCGTGGGCGTTGAGAGCGGGATGCATTGCGATGTGGCTGGGAGGTGCAGGTGGGTGGCCACAGTGAGGTCTGTGGTTGTGTTTGTGGGTGTGGGGGTAGGGGAGGTGAGGAGGACGGGTTGGTTCGGGGATGGGGTGGTGCCGGAGGTGGTGGAGGAGGAGGAGGAGAGGGCGCGCCGGAGGGAGAGGAGGGGGTCTGGTTGGTGAGGGTCTGTTGGTTGTGTTTCCATTGCTGCTGCTGTCTGTAGAGGTGGTTTCTGGTCGTGGTCGTGGTCGTCGTCGTGATGGCGCACGAGACGGAGTGAATGGAGCTTTGATTAGCTAGGTAGGTACAGGGGCCTGGCCTGGCCTCCTTTCCTCGTTTGTATGAATGACACTTCGTCCTTTTAGTTTGCAATTGGGCGCTCTGGGTCAACTCAAATGTAGGTTGTAACTGTATGGAATATCTGGTCGCCTATATCTGCCAGAAGCAAAAGGTGTACGTGTAACGAGTTGCGATGCTTAACTGAATGAAAGACAGCTTCGACCAAGGACGAGTTGAAGTTGAGGAAGTTGGAGATGACTAAGCAGGATTAGCTGGAGATCACCTAATCGTGATTGGTTGAATGAGTTTTTTGGCTGCTACATCATATATAACTACAACTTTAACAAAGTGAAGGAAATGTAGTCTAAGATTAAGAAAGTGAGAGGTGAAAGTAATTTTTTTTTTAAAAAAAATCACAAAAAAATACCTAGAATAGAAAGAAAGTGCCTATCAACAAAAACCATGAAAGCCCAGACAACCAACACCCTACAAAACCCATTCATCAGGGAAACGCAAAAGGGAGACGGCTAAAAACGAAAAAAAATAAAGAATAAAGAATGTTAAAGTAAAATAATAGTAATTTGAATTGAGAAGAAATAAAAAAAAGAAACAACCATACAAGTGAAAAAATTACAAAAGAACATGAACTTTATCTCGAATGATGCTGCAACCTTGGATCCCGTGATTCACCAGAACCAGGACCAACACCATTGTTATTATATCCATTACTCCCACCTTGCGACTCAGTAGCGACGGATGTAGAGGGGGAAGCAGCTAGAGGCCACGATGGTAACCCTAGCATGGCGACACCAGCAGAAGGCGCAGACGAAGTATTCGCACCAGCATCCTGCATAACTACATCCTGAGCTACCGTCGTATCACTACTACTACTGTCAGAACCACCAGCCAAGTTCCCCCGTCCATCCACCGAAGCCATAACTTTATATGTATCTTTATCCATTGAGTTCTGACATTGGCCCTGGCTATTAGCTCCCTGCTGTTGCAGTGGCGTCGACGGGCTCTGACTCTGACCTGCGGAAAACAGAGGCGGCTGCGGTTTCTCAATCGGTGGCGTAGTTGCCGTTAAGGTACCGCGCCGGCTCATGTAATCACCTAAGCTAAGTTTTTTCTTCACAGGGCTAGGGGTGATGGCGCTCGAGGGTGGCGTTATTGTAGGCATAGGATGTTGGGCGGCTGTAGGAGTGGTAGTAGTTGCGTTGGTGGGTGAAGATTTGATAGGGAATGAGTGTGGTGATTGCGTTGGGAGTATTGGTGTTGAGGAGTTGGGTTTATCTTTGTATGTGCTTGTAGAGGTGGTGGGATGTGTAGGAGTTGTCATCATCGAGTTAGGTGTTGATGAGGGGGTGGTGAAAGGAGGAGGTGCAGGAGGTAATTGAACTCGCAGGTCAGCTCTGCATGCTCTGTCAGGAGGTTTGCGCGGCATTGGGAAATTATGCGCGACGGTTGATGGTAATGGGTGAGGCGGTTTTTGAGGGGAAGTGTCTGAGGATATATTTAAGGAAGACAATGCGGCTGATGTGCCAGGTGACGGTGGGATAGTGGTCGTGGTAGTATGTTGGGAAATCTTAGGTGGCGTCATCGGTGTATCTGTGTCCTTCATGTCGACATCTTCGCGACGACTTAGAGGCGAGCTGAGGATGGCGTGCTGGGAATCTGGTATCGAAGGCGTGGCAATGTCACTACTGTAAACTGGCGACGCATTGATACGATTGCCAATTTGCTGAAGCCGAACCCTATCCTCATGACACCGTTTTAGAAGTCGTGTTGTCAACGGAACGAAGCCAGATCGCCGTGGAGGCTTTGGCGGGACGAAGTCCGGATCATTCTCGTCCGGCTCGGTTTGCATTTCAGAGTCGACGTAATCTGGGCGGCGAAGAGGGGAGGCGACAATGGGTGTTGATCTCGACGCCTTCTTTTGCGAAGATTGCGGCTTTGGGCCTGGTGTAACGGACGCAGGCGAGCGTTTCCGAGGAGAATTGGAAGATCGACGAGCACTTGTGGTGTCGATGCGTAGAGGTTTAGCGTTGGTCTGTGAGGCCTGCTTAGAATAATTAGGTTCGGTTGTTACCACTTTCGCAAAGAGACTACAGGAACTTACGCCGATGGCAGTAGTAGCAGTATTACTGGTACCCGTAACAGAGGTACCACTAGACCGCTTTTTCTTCTTCTGAGGCTGTTGCTGCTCATGTTCAAGCTGCTCGAACTTCTTCTCAGCTGCGGCAATCTTCCGTTTCTCGCGCGCAGAAAGCTCCCCAGACATCGAGGCCAATGGGTCCGAGACTGAGGGACTATGTGCTGTGGGTGTTAGATCTCGACTTCGAGGGCGATTGGATGTTGACCTTGATCGGCTCCCCCCTTGATCGTCATCCACTTGGGCCTTGACGGCTTCGCTTGCAGCTCGACTATTATTAGCTAGGCCCGTGTTGACGGGCGAGATCGCATTTTTAGCCTTGCTCTTTTTCCGCCTCCCATTTACCTGTTTCGAGGCTGTGTCAGCACTCTTCGGAGGTCGTCGACAGTCGACTTTCGCCAGGCGACAGGATCGTGAAGAATCACACGCACAGCCACCGAAATTGGCTAGAACTTTGCTTATTGAGATCGGCCAGTCATCAGAGATGCCATCATTGGATCCTTCCTGCTTAACAAAGCCGTTGTTGGAAGGAAACATTTGCGGGTCAAGGTACCAGGAGGTTGTTATTTCTGACTTGGCAGTAATATCCTGGTTCGCCACAAGGCAGAAATGATATTCAATGTTATTCGTGATGACGGTCTTCATGGTGACGTTTGGGTGACATGATCGGCGAACATAGCGTAGCTGGGAGCCTTCTTTGCGACTGTCGATATATATCGGAAGCTGAGGGTGGAAGAATACGAAGGGCAAGGGATGATGGAACTCATGCCATCGATTATTCGGATCGACGCAATAATCGCGGAAATGACCTACTTTGCCCTTCACCTCTCCAATGATCTCATCCTTGTGAACATCATTTTCCACAGTCAGAAACCGCCATGTAGGATGCCGTCCATCGTATTCAACACTGGTGTCTGTAACAACTTGTTTGGAGAGGACTGGCCACTGCGCAGGGTCGAGTGGACGATTTAAATATGTAAAGACTTCTTAGGAGAGCGACCGTGGTCATCGCGGGCAGACGGGCAGGATCTTGTACCAGGAAGAAAAGTCGTTCGCTAGTTGCAGGTTATCGAATAGATGCTGGGAATATCCACCGTTCGCCTGGTCATGATCGTACAGATGGAGGAACTCCTGGGAGTAGAGGGGATATTCGGGATGAGGGAGGCCTTGGTAGGGCTCATAGCCGACGCAGATGTTGCTCGCTTTCGACTGTCGGAACCAACTGAAGGAGCAAGGCCCCGTGAGCGAGTTTATCGAGTTCGACGAGCGATGACTGTCTTTGATTCTTGCGAGGGGAAGCCCTCTCGTGGGAGGACCAGCCGTTCGTCTGATCGCCGCTACACCGGACGGAAGGGTCCCTGTTGAATTGTTACTGTTATTATCCTTCGCGGCTACCTTCTTCCTATGGGATTTGGAGCCGGATCGCTTGCTTTTCCGGTCACCGCCATCGCTCTGCTCCTCTCTGCGCCTTCTCTGTAGCTCTGTGGCGAGCTTTGAATTTAGGGGTCTCGGTTCGCAATCTGCACAGTTGTGGACTTCAGGGACATCTTCGCCGTCGTAGTAGCATAAGATGTGTTGCCAGGTTTCACAACGTTCGCAGAATACGGTGTGGCCATCATCGTCCTCGAAGGAACAGATGCATTTGATGGTATAAGGCTCGTCTTCGTCATCATGGACAGACTGCTGCGCAACGGCGTTACTGTTACCATTTGGAACCGGAGAAGGAACAATAGGAGAGGGGAGCGGCTGAACGGTGACCGAGTGGGAGTTCGCTGGCAGATGCGTGGCTGCGAGAGAGGAGGTATCTGTCATAATCTGACAGCTTACCTCCTCCAGAACACGTTGTTGGCGCTCTAGAGGTGAACCCTCGATCGGACGAGGTGGCTGGGTGATGGAATTCTGATGGGGAGGAGGAGGAGGAGGAGTTGGTTCTGGTGGTGGAACGAAAATGGTGTCCTTTGCTTCCAGAGCCACACGCGCAAATTTTTCCAGTTGGTGTGTTGGTTCCGATTGACGAACCAAGTCATCAACCAGGACCGTTACACCACGCGACAGAATGGCTGAAGCGAAAGGAGGTCTATTTCGAGGAGATCAGACGAGATGGAGAAGGCAAATCCAACCACACGTAGGAGAAGTTAAGAGGAGGGGGAAAATCGTTCTTGTTGAATAATGACTTTTTGGGTGGCCACAAGCGATGAAACACGACGACTTTGCGATGGATTTTCGATGATATTTGTGATGAAAATATGCGAGTGAAGAGGGTGGATTCGCGGTAGACAAGGATCTCGAGAAGACTTGCTAGGCGTGGGATAGCGGTCGCAGGATGTCAAGAGGAGGCCACGTTTTTGACGGGTAAGTTAGGAACGGAGGCGACTGGAGGAGCAGGGGAGGAGGGAGGGAGAAGATCGCGCGCATTTAGTAGGAATCGATGAATCGAGGAATCGAGGATGGGATGGCAGGATGGTGAGATGGCGAGATGGCGAGATGATTCAATGATGGATATGCTGGTGGAGGAGGAAGAAGTGGGATTTTGGCGATCGAAGGGCGGGAGTTGAGGAGAAGACGAGGAAGAGACGACGGAGGAAGACGGGAAGACAGGAAGAGCGATAAGAGGGAGTTGTTGGATAATAAAGGGAATTAGGTAGTTAGTAATAAGTAAGAATTAGGAAGAATTAGGAAGAAAAAGAAGAAAAAGAAGAAAAAGAGGGAAAGGGGAAAGGGGAGAGAGTGGAGGACGAAGAGTGAGCCATGGATCAATGGGTGGGAATGGGAAGAAATAGGAAATAGAGGAGGAAGAGAAGAAATAGAAGAAGAGAGAGAGGAGTTTGGTTTGGTTTGGTTCGTTTGGTTCGTTTGTCTGGTCTGGTTTGGTCTTTGGTTCTTGGAAAGAGACAAGAACGAGTCGCCTAAAAGGGCAATGCCTGCGCTAGTCCCGATGCGGCGGAGGCTCTGGCCCCCGAGGCTCCATTCACTAGTCCTCCTTGGGTTAGTCCGGTCTTGGCGTTTTCATCTCACTCTGTTCAGCACAGACAAACCTTGGAACAACAATACATAAATAATAATACACGGGGAGATGGAACAGGAAGCAACATCAATGTCCAAGTCGAGGGCAGAGAAAGCGGATGACATAACGCAGATAAGATAAAATCAGCCCCGCATAGGAATGCAAGATCTCCTGCTGCTGGAAAGACAACCTTGTATGTTAGTGTTCATCTATAACCTATTAGTAAACAGGCTCCTGAGGAAGCTTGTGTTTTTTTGCCCCGCGTCCCCCTCCCCCCCTCCCCCCTTGCCCATATGCAGAGAGAGGCCTGCCCCCCCCCCCCCCTTCCCTCTCGGGTGAATAGATAGAAAGAAAATGAGGGAGGGATGGAGGGAGGCTCTTTGTTACGTTTTCTCCCGTCTCCGGTCTCGGCTGTTGGTGGTGCTGATTTTGCTGATATGAGTAAGGAAGGCGAGGAGGGGGAAGAAAACCCGCTGGAAGGATCTGCATGGGCCTCGAACACATCATTATTCTTCTTCTGGTCTTCTCTCTCTCGCCCGTGTCAGTGTAACATGTGCACGTCTTTTCTTGTCCAGGTATGGTAGGGTCCACGGCCCCATGTCGTCCATTTGTGTAGGAGGCCCCATGCTGTTCTTCTCTCTCCTTGCTGCTGCTGCCGCTGCTGTTGGAGCCTGAAGAAGGAAGAAAAATATTTTTAAAAAATATTTAAAAAGGTGGTATGCAGTCGTAGAGAACCTTCTCTCCAGGCGCAGGCGTTCCGGCGGGCTACATCAGAGAATGCCGGCTCCATCGTCACATAATAATAACGCTCGACTGTCTGGCCATGTCATATATCCACAATCAATCATCGTAATATATATATATATATATATATTTTTTTGGCCGCGGAGAAGAAAAGGAAAATGGAGTAGAAAATAAAAGGGAAAAAGGAAATAAAAAGGGGTAGACGGACGGGTGTGGCCTGGGGGAGAAGGTATAAGCGCAGTCCGGGTTCAAGTTAGCTGCTTAACCCCCCCTGGCCCCCGCGCCTGCCTTCCCTTCCTTCCCTTCCCTTCTCCCCCACTACCCTACCTACCCTACCTAGGTGGGTGCGGTGGTGCTGTGCTTTAGCCTTCTTCTAGTCCTGATTAGTGCCCTGCACGCTGTGCATCGATATTGTTACCCACACTGTATATTTTTCGCCTATTCTGTGGGAATTTCTCTCTCCGTCTGGTTGTGTGTGTTTCGTTAGTAAGGATACTGTGGTCAGGAATTTTTCTCTCTAATCGGCTAGGAGGAAATAAAAATAAACAGAACGGAGGGAAAAAAAAAGTAGAAGAAGAAGATTGTCTCAAATGATAGACTGGTAGAGTAGACAGGTCAACATGATTGGAAGAAATAACAGAAGAAAGGGCAGAGGGTGGACGAAGGATGGCTGAGTTGCTTTCCTGCTGTTTGCTGTTTGTAGACAAGTCTCATAAGTATTATTATAGTAGGGAGAGGGGATTGATATATTCTCTGAAAAACCTGTGTCAGAAAGGGAAAAAGAAAACGCCATTCATCACAAGTGGCTCCTCTCAATAGGCTTTTCATGCTCTCCTGTTGCCGCTCAAGTCAAGTCAGTAGGTTGTATAGCTGCTGGTCAAAAGGGGGAAAAAACAGAGGGCATAGAAGTGTGCTGCTAGGTCCTGTGGATGGATGTAAGTGATAAGTTATAATTAATAAAGAAGGACGCTCTGCCTGCCACTGCTGAAGAAGTGGTTTATAAGGCAAACGTGGGACGCCTGCTGGAGTTAAGTCGGATATATATATTATCCATGTAGGAGGGCGTATGTTCTGCTTTGAGGGGAGGGGGGAGGGGGGAAGCAAGGGAGTTGAGTTGCCTTAGAAATGATCCATGAACAGATGATGAATCACTGGAGGAAGAAGGGTTTGCCGTGGTTCGTTTGATATACAAATTCTCCCAGGCGTGAGTGAGGGAGGGAGGAGTGGTAGAGAAAATCGGCAAGGGAGGGAGGGAGCTCGGGAGAGGAGAGGAGAGAGGGAAAATGGGAAAGTGACCAGACAAATAAAATAAAAAGTGAAGCTTTTTGGAGGACCGGACAAAAATCGGGATTGGGAATAGTTAATGAGGCATAGCTAGCAAGGAGTAGATGCAAGTTGATAGGTTCGGCAATTTCTGGTAACTTTAGTACGTACCTCTGGGCAGGGTAGCCGTACCTGGATGGTGTTATAACTAACTACAAAGGGCCATTCTTTCGATGTTGTGAGGAGGAGAGAAGAGGGAGGATAGGATGTGGGAAAAGAAGCTAAGAACTATTTTGGTCTACACACCACGCAGCCCGTAGATTTGAAAGAAGAAGAAGAAGAAGAAGAAGAAGAAGAAGAAGAAGAAGAAGAAGAAGAAGAAGAAGAAGAAGAAGAAGAAGAAGAGAAGAAAAAGAAGGTAGGATGATGTAGAGGGAGGGAGGGAGAGACAAAAGAGAGAGACAAAAAGAAAGAAAGGTAACGGGTAGTTAACTAGTTAAGTAGTTAGTTAGTTAGTTAACTAGAGCAGCAAAAGATGGAAGGAAAAAAAAAAGGGAACGAACAAACAACAAAATTTATTCCGGCAATAATAGCGTATGTTATGTTATGGCTTGATCGCTGACTTCCTTCGCCTTCGCCTTGTTCAGATGCAAAAGAAATCCGCCTGACTTGCATCCATCACGATGCACGTAATTAATGATAGTTAGTAGGCAATGGGGATAGCACATAGACCTGATCATCCACAAGGCCTGGCCTGCAGCTGACCCCAGAAAGACCAAACCAACCATAAAAGCCTACTGTAGTGAGTGACATTTTGAGTCAAGAGTAGTTAGGTACTCGACTAATTCCAATATAGTTAGTAGTATATTACCACTAGTTAACTATCAGGTAGGTTATAGAAACTCTCTTCTGAGTATACTCCGTAGAGTCTTCTGAATATAGAGTAGATTCCCAGATATGGAGATCTTCCAGATATAGAAGTTCTCTCAAGTATAGAGACTCTCTTAGGATAGAGATCCCCAGATCTTCAATGAGAAGAGCTATACCACAGCCCCAGCCAGACACAGTCCCAGCTTTATCCACTCCTCCTCATAGTTACTCCGTAGTGTGCTGGCTGATTGGGATGATGTAGTTACCTGGAACATTTAAACAGTTACCCGTGTAAGGAACAAGGATGCAGGAGGGATGAAATATATAATATATGTGAAGCACATAAAAATACTGGAATATTCACGGTATGCTATGATGGCATAGAGCAAGAATAGGTGCAGCAAGTATTTATCACACCCCTCTCAACTATAACTATACAAAAGCAACTCACTTGAACCCTTCTTCACTTCTTCACAGAGAAAATAATAACTAACTAATAGTTGACTGTCATCGGGGGCATGGTTTGCGGGTGGTGACTCTAACAACGCCCCAAAAGACATTCAACCGAATGCCAATGTCGATAAATATAGCTTCAAGAACCCCCCAGCCCCGGTCCTCCTTTTCTTCTTCTTCTTCTTCTACTTCTTCTTCATCATCTTCTTCCTTTTCTTCGAACAGGACCCTCCACCTAAAAAAAAAAAAAAAAAAAAAAAAAAAAAAGCAGCCAGACAGAAGCCCGCCGGGGACATATTTATACCCCAACCGCTATGGCCCTATATACTTATACTTACCTGCCTCCCTACGCGCCTAATAGGAATACCTAACTATCTATCTACCTCTACGTTACTGCTGGCCTTCTGGAGGGCGTACCGGGCTATCTATATATTATTTATGATAAAGGATACTTAACTGCAAACTGCATCTCCATCTAATACTACTTCTAGTGCTTTCATTTGGTCTAAGCAACTCTCTTCTAATGCTTCCGACTATTTGCACAGCAAGATAGCGACTATTGTCGTCACAACACAGAGGAAATCTTAGAAAAGCTGTCAATGGCAATGATCAAAGTCCCATGCCATGCCCCTGGCAGCGACGTATTTCCATCGATTGCTGCCACAATGCATTCTGCGAATAGCTTCAATGTTTGCGTCGGAACGATGGATAATTTTTCCCCAGCGTACGTAGCGAGGTAAAGAGCAAAGGATCTGCTGGGTGATTTTTTTTTTTTTTTTTTGGACTCTTGAAGGATTAAGATTTCTTTGCCTTTTCCATTCATCTTTTCTACGGACTTTACATATAGAGGATCCCTTCATCTTTCCCTGTTTCTCGCGCTTCTCTTATTTTTTTTTTCCAAAGATACCTAGGCCTATAAAGTCCTATGGGCGGACTCTACCCTTACCCCTTGATGAGAAACGCAAGGAGTCGCCCAGGCCCTTCTCCAGGTGCCATACCAGGGAGGGTTTCCCAGCGCACGGTAGGAATAATCCCTATATGCTTCTAAGGGGCGACGAGCGTACCTAGTGCGCTCCGGCAGACGAGAAGGCATATCAGATGGAGAGCCCAAGAGAGAATGACCCGCATTGGCAGCGCGACACAACTTGAACGCGATATGTCAGTGGCTTCTGAGGCCCGTGGAAAGGACTCCTACTCCTTCTACCCGCCATTACAGTGGCAACACCTAGTGACAACAGCGCCGTCATGATGATTGCGGCGGATTTTATGGCACACCGTTAGCAAGATGGTAACGGTTGTGCCTTAAGAATTTCTGCCCCCCTACCCCGCCTGGCAATGGCGCATACACCCAGATGATCACCATAAGCTCACTGTCATAGCTCGCCGCGGCCAAGAGCATCTTAAGGTTGCAGCCAGGGGCTTCAGCAGCAGTCCCCTAATATGCCCAGTGTCAGATCGATTATGAACTGCGAAACCACAAGAACTACACGCGCGCCTATATTTATGATCTTGTCATATTCTCTAACACTCTTGAGGATCACATACGACACCTACATGCCGTTCTCCAGGTCCTGCAAGACTTTAGGCATTGCTCTGAACCCCCGCCTCGATATGGTACAGGTACAGGCGTCATATATGTTAATGCTGATACTTTACAGAAGACAATTGCAAATAGGAAGAAGCCTCCGAACTAATCAATAACTTTGAAACGTTTTAACTATCCGATACATACCCGTGCATGCCTGTTGCATATCAGCAAAAATTATCATTATTGAAAATTGGCCAACCAAGTCTAACTATCTACAACTAAAGAAAATTTACCTATAGAGCAGCTCCGGGTGATCGTTAATTACCGCGGGCCAATTGGCAGATTCCATCTGCATTGAACACCTCCGTGACAATATCAAAACTCTCGAGGGCAAGCAGGAACAAATTACGGTTCTAATATAATACTTCACTGAATCTGCACTAAGCCCTGCCTCCCTCTTTCAATCACTAAGGCGGAAACCAGTGGGAAGCTCTCCCCAGTGTTTTTACGTCAGGTATTGGACTTCCTCTAGTCAAAATGCGGCATTCGTTCAGAGGTGGTTAGTTACGCGGAAGCCGAGGATCTTGCCGAAGATGTCGCCAAACCGGATCGTGAATTACTCCGCCGGTGCGAAGAAACGTCTGCCGTCCAACCTCCATATACCGATCCTTGCAAGTGGTTGAGTTTGGATCACCTCATCCTAGATCGGATGTTGGCCAATCGTCTTGAATTGCCAGGTCATCTTAGACAGGGAACGTTCAACAGCGATGCTCGGTTCAACACACTGAAAGAGGAGCAATGTATGGTTGATCCATACATTTTCGAATAAATATCGCTATTTATCTGCTGAGTTCGACTCTCAGTTGATGGAGCTCGAAGATTTGAATGAAATGATCTATAATATTGAGGCCTCCGAGCAGATGATCGAGTCAACAATGAGTTGTCCCAACCTTGGTTTCTATTTCTACGGTGCAGACTCGGATCAGATTGGATATGTTGGGATTTTGCCCAAACAAATGTGTCTGCGGTTTCTTTTCAAGACCTTAATCTTACCAGCACGATTCGAAGCCGCCCGACGCTCTAGGAATGCAAATGCCCCCTTATTCCTACCAAACCCTTCCGATTGTGGGCGGAGAATTGGAGAGAGACTAGACCAGAAGAGAAAGCATCTGATAGTGGGGCCCTTTAACCCTTCTGAGATATTCGGGGCTTTGAGTCAGTTAACCACCCCAATGCAAGGGTCACTAACTGACGCAATTCATCGGGACTTTTTTATGGCTAGTCAGTCATATGTATCCTCTCTATCTCTTGTCTTTTTCTTTCCCAAAGTCTCTGAGACCATTGATGCGCTATCAAGTACAGCGTACATCAAGTTTTATACGATCTTATCTTATTTCCTTCTCTTTCAACAAAATCAATGGGCTAGACCTGAAAATATGGTTTCATTTGATCAGCGCATTTAAACCTACCGGTGCAGGGTCATTATTACGCTACACGATACACGCACGGAAAACCCTATGTGCCCTAAGAAAGCCGAATGACTGAGAAAGCAGAATCATGTCGCTGCTTCTTCTGGTCGTTCGACAACATCGAGCGAAGCTTTACCGTTTAAAACCTCACTCTTTCCTATCGTCAGGAAAACGAGCGGCGCTGCCGAAGAAGGCCCTGCCTGGGTTGCGGATACCGTTTGACTTCATAAAATGATCAAATGCCAGGGGAAAAAAGACCGCGAACCTTTTGGTTGTTGGAATGCCGACAATTGGTTTCGGTTTTGCTTCGCATAATGTAAATTCAATATTGAATACCGCTGAGTGTGCAGCATATTGGTAGCATGTCACTCATACTTGAAAAAGATCCAAGTCAAACCTCAATTCTAACGCCTACGGCAGCAGTGATTAAATTTAATGCTGAACACCAGGAATGTTAAGTTCTTCGCCAAAACCTCCGTTTAGAGACTCGGGGCCGTCCGTGTGCGCTCATGAGGATAAGTGGAGTTTGAAGGGAGATTTCATTTGAGAAGCCCGCGGGTTTCCATCAAGCCGAATTCGCGATCTAGCGTCTGAAAAAGAAGAGATGGGGAAGGTCAATGTATGGAAGGCGAAGTTATCCAGAAATAGCCTCGAAAAAACAGGCGTCATCTGCCGGGCGACGCACGCGGAGATGGCGTTATACATGGAAAAGCTACATCATCAGAA